CTCGTCGATGTTTCTGGTTCTCTGTCTCTCTCCCTTCCTCTCTTAGTTTTTAAAATACCTGAAACAAACAAAGCAAATATTAATACTTATTACATCTATATGGCAAGAACAACAGTGTTTGTTACATTATTTTCTGAAATTTTCCACATTCTTGAATATTCCATAAAATAAAAATATAGGCTATAAAGTTAAATTTAAATTTCAGGTAAACAACAAATAATTCAGTATATGTCCCATGAACATTTGGGACATACTTGCATGGGACACACTATACTAAAAAAGATGTTCATTTTTGCATTAAAAAATTACATTTATGCTTTATTTTTTTAAAAATTTTCATTTTTAAAAAGAGAGGAAGGGAGAGGAAAGGAGAGGAAGAGAAGCATCTACTTGAGAGTTGAAGATACATCTATCAGCTGCCTCCTACATACCCCCTACCTATGATCCAGCCTGAAACTCAGGCATGTGCCCTCACCAGGAATCAAACTGGCAACCCCTCAGTGCTCAGGATAATGCCCAACCAACTGAGCCACACAAGCCACAACAGTGAATGTGTGCATATGCACAAATACACGTATATTCTGTCTACTGTCAGCTTCAGCCAAGAGAATGAGCCCCATGAGAGCAGGAACTTTGCTTTGTTCACTTCAGTATCCACAGTCACCTAAAATAGTACCTGGGGCATAGTAAATTCTCAATAAATATTTGTATAATGGATGGATTGACAAAAAGGATAAAGCAGTGGTTCTCAACCTTCCTTATGCCACGACCCTTTAATACAGTTCCTTATGCTTTAATTATGTTCAATTTGTAACAATGAAATTGTTACAAATGAAATGAAATTGTTACAAATTGAACATAATTAAAGCATAGTGATTAATCACAAAAACTATATGTAATTATATATGTGTTTTCTGATGGTCTTAGGCAACCCCTGTGAAAGGGTCGTTCGACCCCCAAAGGGGTCGCAACCTACAGGTTGAGAACCGCTGGGATAAAGGGAGGCCAAAGCTGCCACATAAAAAGGACCATATTTACAGGTCTGGATTCCCATATATTTTAATGCTTATATCATCTTTATTTCAATACTTCAAAATATATTTTCACAGAAATTAGTTTAATTATTTGATTAATGTATTTCAGTTCTTAAGAAGAGATAAGATGTTCTAGAAACTAATAAGTTCACTCCAAATTTACATAAAGAAATCAAAATTTAATGTGATTGATTCAACTCACTATGCCATTTTTCTCAAAGAACTCAAAAATTCACACACGCATGAATTTAATCCTAAAATTAGTGTTCAGGTAAACATTTTTGAAATCTCAAGCTAACAGAGCAGAAAAGCAAAAGCAAGGGTAAAAGAAAAATCAGTATTTGTTAGAAACTCTAGGATGGGAGTGGGCTTAGAAAGAAAATCATTGTAGAATGTAAAAACAGCTTTCATTCATTTAACTGAAATTTCGTGACTAGTATTTCTACTACATGTTAGGCAGGTGGCCATGGTGAGCAAAATCAATGTGGTACCTGCCCTTGTGACGTTTATAGTCTGGTGGGGAAGATAAGCCAATTAAACAAGCTATGTCCATACAAAAGAAAACCACTATGAAAGTGGCCAGTGAAGAGTATGATCAGAACAAAAAGAGAGTTGGGAAGGGGAAGCAGCTTTCTTATACTGAGACTTCAAGAATGAAGAGTTGGCCAGGTCAAGAAGGTAATATATTCCAGCTCAGGGGTAAGAACATTTCACATTCAGGAACTGAAAAGATGAACAGAGTGTAGTGGTCAATGAGTAATGTGTTAAGAGATGGAGCTGGAGGGATAGATAAGAAGCAGGTCATGAAGGGCCTCATAAGTTACGTTGTATAGAAATTATTTTGATAGTAAAAAAATTTCCCAAAGAGTTTTTGACCTGAGCTGTGCTTAATAAGGATTACCATGACTGCAGTACAGGGCATGGACCATAGGAAGGCAAGATGGGGAAGGGAAAGGTACTAGAAAATTATTGCAGTAACCAGATGAAAAACAAAGAGGATGGGTTCCTGAACTGAAGTAATGATACTGATTCAGAAGAGAGTGAATGAAATCAAAGGGATTAAATCAAATCTATTTGGCTTGCTCTGATTATCTGTATTTGTGGTGGGGTAGAGGGAAAAATCAAGGCTGACTTCCACATTTATAGATCAGAATGACAGTACAATTCACTGAACTACGGGGGTTTTCTTTTATGGGAAGGGGAATGGCAGGAATATCATGAATTCAATCACAAACAAGTTGAATGTGAGATGTCTGTATGACATTGTATGAAATGTACAGTAAAGATTGAATATTCAGGTGTGGAAGAGAGAAGATTGGTTTAGGATCTAAATATCAGAATCATGAGGAATACCACTAGAAGAGAGAAAAAAAAATCACCCAAGGATTTCTGTGTAGACTGAGAAGAAAAGGCAGCAAGAGGTGGAAGCACATGAGCCTTTAATGAATAAATAGGTGGAAAAGGTCTATAAAAGGGAATTTCTACAGTAGACCACCAAAAAAGGCTGGTAAAAAACAAACAAGCACAGAAGTGTGTTATCTCCAAAACCAAGGGAAGAAGGGGTTTTAAGAAACCAGCATAGTCAACCATGTCAAATGATGTCAAGAAATGTGGCCAAACACCCCACTGGATTCAGAATTTCAGCAATGTTCTTCCAGTGTTCTGTTTCTAATAAATACAAACAGAAGAGCTCCAAAAAAACTGATGTAAAATCAGTCACTCTTCAAACTCCCTCATTTTTTTCCAAGTTGATGGTCAAAATCAGTGATTTTTTAACTTTTTAAATCAGTGACAAAGCCTTCATTTTTGCAAACTTCAGGTTGGTCAAGGGAGCGTTCACTGGCCATGCACGAGTATTTTTCCTTGCCAGAAGTCAATTCACTGAATAGTCTCACAAAGCCAGCATCTTGATTATATCTCCAACAGTGAAGAAGTAGTGTATGTCTTACTTTTCCCTGGTATCTTGCATGGTTCTTGGCCTGCGCCAAGGAACTCAATAAATATTTGTTCAATGATGTGTACTCAGAGCATTAATCTGTGAAGCTTCCCGGAAATGATTTTTAAGTTATTCTTTACCAGTTCAATCCCTGGAGTAGAGACAGTACTAATATTTTTGCAAAGCTTCCTTCACTCCTTAAAGAATGCTAAGAAAAAACTGTTTAGTGAGTCTCCAAGGTGTTACCTAAGCAGGCCTCATTTTAGAAAATGCATCCAACACTGGGGGAAAATGTACTAAACTTAGTTTTGCGAACGGAGTATCACCTTCATATTAATTTCTTCTTATAAATCATTCATGTAGAATTTTATAACTAAGTTTCTTAAATCAAGATGGAAGGATATTTATTTCTATCGTAAATAAGACCAGAATTTAACATGTTTATATTGTTCCATCTGATTTCGGTTTTACTTTGACTTGCCACGCCAGGTGGGGCGCACAGGGCTGAGGATGCCAGGAGGCCGCCCCGCCCTGGTCTGCACCCTATGGCCAGGCTTGCCCCAGTCCGCCCGCTGTTTCAGGTCACAGCACGCGCGGATGGCCAGACCGCCACAGCCAGACGCACGGACAGGGTTCTTAAGCATTCTTATTCACTTTTTAAAAAGTAAAGAAAATTTTCTAAAAAGACAACTTGTCTCATCAGTAAGCATTCCTCTCTTAGAATGGAATGTGAGTTTTCCTTTATCATATTTGCATGCCATGTTTCTTAGCTATAGAAACCAAGTAACTTGGTTTCAAAATCACTGACAATTTCAAAATGACCTAGCAAGTATTTGAAAATGCTAGAAAACATTAGTGACAAAAGAAAACTGTTTAGCAGGGATCAAGCAAGCTAAATCGTGAAAAATAAATTCAATCAAATAAAATTATTTAGCCTACATTTAATTGGCACCTCTAGGGAAACTTTTCTAATGCAAGACTATCATTACAAACGGAAGATGAATAGGAGCACAATGCAGAGTAGAAGCCAAAGTTGAATTCTTAACTTTTGACAACACTTTGAAAATCAGAGAAATAATTTCAATCTATGAAACATGAAATCTGGTGATGGAAATATCAGCTATTCAATCTAACCTTACCTAGGGACAAACAGAAAATATGATTACTACTTAGAACTGCACATGTGATTACACTCGTATCAAACTTTTAGCTACCACTAAAAGTAGGCCTCTTTTAAACCAAAGAATAGCAAGACACAAGAACACACAGCATTCAACTAATAAGCCACTTCGTGATAAGAAACCTATTTAGCGCGCGCGCACACACACGCGCGCACACACGCGCGCACACACACACACACACACACACTTATTATTTCAAAACGACATTCTAGACTGCCCGATTGCTAAATCCACTCACAACTCACTATGGTCAGCTCCCTGCCCAGTCTATTTACTTTTCAGTGCAGGGTTAAAAAAAAAACAAAAAAACACAAGGAAGCAGCACTCCCTCCCAGAATCTACGTGAAGAAAACGAAAAAGTTACCACGACTTTGGAACGAAACACACACACACACACTAATGAAAACTAATTCCCGACACACAGGAAGGAATAACCAGCACACGTGGTCCTCGCTCCGTGGCCTAACACCTGGGGAATGTGTGGCTCGGGTCCTTTTGGTGATCCCGGCCCCAAGTACAAACTCCAAGAATGGGAGGAACTGGCGGAGTTCTGGGACGGTCCGGGCAGAGGGTGACAGCTCGGGGCGGCCTCCCAGGCTGAACGGACACCACCGAGGGGCCAGCCCG